GTTTATTTATTTTTGAGAGAGAGCAGGGAGGGGCAGAGAGAGAGGGAAACACAGAATGCGAGCAGGCTCCAGGCTCTGAACTGTCAGCACAGAGCCCGACTCAGGGCTCGAATTCATGGACCGCCAGATCATGACCTGAGCTGAAGTTGGACGCTTAACCAGCTGAGCCACCCAGGTGCCCCTCTTGAAGATTTTATATGCACATTCCCTATAAAGTCATCTGGGCCTGGTGCTTTTTAGAGAGGTAAATCTTGGAGGACTTTTTTCAGTGTTTTTTGATGTTGTTCTAGGATCTTCTCTATAAGCTCATTTGGGTAAATTATACTTTATAGGGCAGACACTGGGCCTATAGCTTGCAAATTTGGCCCAGTGCCTATTTTTGTATTCCAAGTTTTGCTGAAACACAGTCACATCCATTCATTTATGTGTTGTCTATGCCTGGTTTTTGTGCTACCATAGCAGAGTTGTAGTTGAAAGACTATATGGCCTATATAATGTTTACTATCCGGCTCTTTACAGGAAAGATTTGCCAAGCCATGTTATGGAACATTGTTTACATTTTGAATTCTGTCTTTTTTAATCCCCGGCACGGTTTGTATTTCTTTTTTCTCCCCATTGTTCGGGATTACTAAAATTTTGTCAGACTTCCTGGTAACACTGTTGGGTGTTCCCTTTTCTGCTGTGCTCTTCAACGATTTAAATAGCATTAGACTTAGAGTTACATGTTTTTTAGAAGTATTCTAGTAAAAACAAAAAAACACTGAATGGCTGTATTGGTCAAACTGTCTGATCCTGATGGGTGATTTCATAAATTCCTCCATTTCTTCTGTTCTAAATACTGTTTATTTTCTTGCCTTTTTCAGGGTCAGAGTTAAATCTCTCCTCCATCTTTTCGAGTTAATTATAGAGTTGAGCCTAAAGAAAAATCTTCATTTTAGAAAATCATCTCATTTTTTCCTAATTTTAAAAAATCATGGGGCGCCTGGGTGGCGCAGTCGGTTAAGCATCCGACTTCAGCCAGGTCACGATCTCGCGGTCCGGGAGTTCGAGCCCCGCGTCAGGCTCTGGGCTGATGGCTCAGAGACTGGAGCCTGTTTCCGATTCTGTGTCTCCCTCTCTCTCTGCCCCTCCCCCGTTCATGTTCTGTCTCTCTCTGTCCCAAAAATAAATAAACGTTGAAAAAAAAAATTAAAAAAAAAAAAATCAGGTTAACTACCAGTTTATTTTTTTCATAAAGCCACACCTTGGAGTTACTAGTTTACTTTGTAAAGTCCTTGGTTTCTCCTTTTATCTCCACTAATTCCTTCTTATGCTTCATTTAGTTCATTCTTTAACTTCAGTAAGATGCTTTTTATTCATTCTTGTTTGTTGAAAATAGTTAAGGCTAGGAATTTTTCTTTAAGCATTGGTTTAGCCATATCTTAAAATTTATCATGTGTTTTGTTTTCACTAGTATTTTCTTGGTAACTCTACAGTTTTGGTATTTCTTTTTCTTTTTCAGCTCAAAATTTATTTAAGGCTGTTTCATTTGCTAGTTTTGTTGTTTCTAATGTGGTTGCATTGTAATCCAGAAATGTCATCTGTATTATTTGTACTTTTTGCAATATAGTGGTGTTTTCTTCAGTACTATATTTGTGTGTGTGTGTGTACTTTTATACTGTTTCATCGGTATTTGTCAAAAAAGGTGTTCTCTGTCCATCAAGGTAGATGGTTTTGCCTTTTTTCCCAGTTTTTCTGTCTCCACTTGATTTACATGTTTTGATACTAAGTTTTGGTATATAAAGGTTCTTTTAGCTGTTCAAATTTTTTTAGTTGGTTTCTTTTATCAGTATGAAACATCTTGGTTTTTTTTTTTTAACGTTTTTTATTTATTTTTGGGACAGAGAGAGACAGAGCATGAACGGGGGAGGGGCAGAGAGAGAGGGAGACACAGAATCAGAAACAGGCTCCAGGCTCTGAGCCATCAGCCCAGAGCCCGACGCGGGGCTCGAACTCACGGACCGCGAGATCGTGACCTGGCTGAAGTCGGACATCTTGTTTTTTATAATGATTTTCTGATTGAATTTTTTTAAACTGGACATTAATATTGCTTTTATTTAAATTTTGTTAGCATTTTTGGTCATATATCTGTATACTTTTCCCCCTCAATTTCCTGTATTGTTTTGTTTTAGAAGTGATTTTTGCAGAGTACATTCCTTAAAGTTTTTCTTTTCTTAAAAAAGCTAAAGAGCTTTTATTAATAAGTAAATTTAACTCATTTACATTTATTTTGATTACAGATCGTTTGGAGCTCATGCGTGGCATCTGTCTATATTTCATATTAACTGCAATTCTGAAATAATTATTTTTATTGCATTTTCTGTATCTTTTGAATGGATTGAGTTTTCTTATTTGCTCATTTTTTTTTCTCTTTTCAGTGGTTTGGATATTTATTGATGTAATTAACCTAAATTTTAACTGCACAAACACACTAGCCAAAAATCATGCAGTAATTATGTCTGTTACCCAGCAACCCCATCCTTACCACCCTACCTTCACACGCAGTTAACTTCTTTACTCTTCCAGTATGCATCATGTTTATATCTGGGATTTCACTTCAGATTATTTAGTTCAGTTTTATAATCAGTAGTTACATCGTCTTAATGTTTTTACTGGTTTTAGTTAACTCTTCTGGCCCCAGAAATGAGGACCTATCTTGGCCTTACTTTCCCCATGACACTCGACTGAGGAGTACAGCAGCTCTCTGAATTGGAGGCAGGGATGGGGCTGCCGGGTGACAGACGGAAATACTGCTTCTGAATTCCTGGTCACTTTTGGCATAGTGTTAAGGTTTTCCGACATTATTCACATAAATCGTTCACAAGTGTTTGCCTGTAGGTTATCTTCTAATTCCTTGAATGTATTAAAGACCATTTTCCTGTTGCTGTCTCATATAAATAATGTCGTTGGGTTTTAAATTGTTACAATCTTGTCTTTTCCTTTTAGTAATACAGTGGCAGGCAAGCCTGTGTTTTAGCAGTGGATAACCGTATTACAAGGTTACATTCAGTTGCCAGATACAGTGCTGAACCTGTACTAAACATGCAAAGGTTGAGTTGGAGTTTTTGTGTTTTTTATGATTTCATAGTTATGTGTACTTTATCTTTTTTTTTGGTTTCAGAGGTACTTTAGAATATTCTAGTGCCTTGTTTTCCTTGTGACAGAGGAATATACATTATTGCTGCTTTCCGGGAGCATTAAATTGTCTGGGAGACAAAAGTTTCATATATAAAGTAATTAGACCTAGAATGTACTTGGCTCAAATTATTAATGTGAGGCTTTTTGATTGCCTTCAAGAATGGAAGGGATTCCAAGCAATAGATGGAATGTAATTTTGTAATTTTTTCAGTGCAGTCCTCCTGAATGACAGTTTGCTTGTATTACTTTAGAGGAATCAAAATCACATGAGAAAATAAGAGACCAGATCCCGTATTAAAGAATACTAGTATTAGTGACGTAGACAAACTCCACCAGTGGCCGGGAGATAGAAGGTGGTTAGTGAGGCGAGACCTACATGAAGGAGACTCTAAAGCTGCGAGGGGTGGGGGTGGGGACGGGGGAGCAGGTAGCTGCTGGAAATGATACCGGTGACCTCTTTATCACACCATCATACGCATTGTAGGCATTTAACAAATATTTCCTGTATTTGGTCCACAGAATAGCTTCTGCTTGTGGAGTTTTTACATTGTGCTGGGTACTAGATCAACACTGCCTGTACGGGCAAGGTGAAAGACACACAGACGACCCAGTTCTAGTGGCAGTGTTCGAATTTCAGGCCTGGAGCTCTCAACCCTTGGGCAGCGTTTTCTCCGAGCATCCTCACTGGTCACATGGATACATTTCACTTTATTTGTCTGACAGTGGCATCTGTAAAGATGTGTCGAACTCTCACGGAAACGTTAAACGGCCGCAAAAGGTGGTATTGTGCCGATCATTAACAGATACCCGTTGTTTGTATCGCCTTATACTTGGTGCTCTGTAAGCAGTAACAGTTAACTCGAGGATAGCTCTGCAGGGTATAGGTGTTACCCCATTTGACGGGGGAGACCACAGGCTCGGTCACGTCTATACAGCTTGTCCAAAGACACAGAGCTCAGTAAAGGCAGCCCTGTGATTAAAACCTGGGTCCATCCAGCACTGAAAGTTCTTATACCACGCGGCATTTATGTAATTTAGAGACTAGGTATATCTTCACCAGCTTGAGTCCTTTCCATCAGTTTGTTTACTTATTTGATCTCTCTTAAGGGTCTAAAAATACACTTTATAATTTCAGATTGTTCATACAGTAGACAAATGGCTATTTCTCAGCTCTGCTTAAGAGAGGTTATCTATGTTACTTCTCCCATTTTGGTTAGTTTCATAGATGTCATTCTGTTATCTTTGTATTCACTTCCCCGTTCTGAGTTTGTCCTATTTGAGACTTTATGTTTTAACAGCAAAAAATATTGTTAACTTTGTCTGTTTTTAAAGAAACTGTCAGATTGTTTTCTATCCTTTCTACCTGTTACTTGTGTTCAGTCTTTCAGAGATGAAGAATAGGAACCAAACACATTAAAAATGAGGCAGATTAAGAACAGTTTCCAGAGAATTGAGGATTCTTTTAGGATTACCAAAATTCAATTCAGCACATTTGTTCTTGAAGCTACTATGAGTTCTCTAGTTGCACAATCAGGTGCTTGTTCTCTGATCAGAATAATATGGGACGGAGCTGGTGAGCATGAGCTGTCCAGGCCAGGGGGTGCTGATGATGTCCATGCCCTTATTGGAGAGGTAGTTAGCAGAAGTAAAATTTGACTCTCTCCTAAGAAAACCCTAGCCTGTGAGTGAGGATATCCTCACGCACTTGAACTTTCCGTTCCCTTAGGGTTGTTTTTCTTAGTGCCTTTTTACTTAGATGGCTTACTGTGGAGGTACACTTTACTGGCTAATCTTTTCCACCCCTTTTCTTTTGTTGGGATTAGTGCCAGAACAGATAAAGCCCAGTGTAAGCCAGCCTCAGCCTGCCAACTCTAATAACGGCACTTCCACAGCAACCAGCACTAATAATAATGCCAAGCGAGCCACAGCCAACAATCCGCAGCAGCCGCAGCCGCCGCAGCAGCCGCCACAGCCGCCACAGCAGCCGCAGCAGCCGCAGCCGCAGCCGCAGCCACCACAGGCCTTGCCTCGGTATCCTCGAGAAGTACCACCACGATTTCGCCACCAGGAACACAAACAGCTTCTAAAGAGGGGTCAGCATTTTCCTGTCATAGCAGCAAACCTGGGATCTGCTGTTAAAGTGTTAAGCAGCCAGTCAGAAAGCAGTGCTTTAACAAATCAACAGCCACAAAATAACGGAGAGGTGCAGAACAGCAAAAACCAGTCAGGTGAGAGAAGGCATTTCTTACGAGACTCCCACTGTCATCATTAGCAGCGTAGCAAGTGTATACATTCATGGCTTTTGGGGGGTGTATTTGTGTTCATCAGTGTCTGCAAATAAGAGTTCCGTGCAGGGAGTTATGAATGGGGAACCCTAAAAATGTTTCCTGTAAGCTGACTGCCCATCCTGCCTTTTAAATGATTAATCACTGTCCCTCCAGGTTCTACCCATTTTAGTAAGTAGCTTATAGCTTAAATCGATAAAACTGTAGCTCAGATTGAGCACCCTCCCCCAAGGGATGTGCTAAGCAGTTTTACACATTATTACAATTAATTGTTGACAGCTCTGTGAGGCATAAGTTGTTCTTATCCTCACTTTTCAACAGAGGTAACTGGGGCACCAAGACATTAGCTAAGTTGCCTAACCTCACTCCGTTACCATGTGCCATTAAAAGACTGTTGCACGTGGAAATTATATTCAGACAGCACACCCATTCAGTTATTGCCACAGATCAGCAAGGGTGGTGAGGCAGGAAGTGTATGTGATTACAGTTTTCTCAAAGCTCAGTTTGTTTCAACATGTTCTGACGGGCTCTGATGGTTTGTTTGTCCCTTCATTTTTCAAACTGTTTTTGAAGCATTTACTACAAGCCAGATAGAGACTTGAGGAGAATCAAGGTTCCCACACATGCAAACACTAGCAGATCCTGGTTATGAACAAAGTTTCTAGAGCCAAATGGACCTGGCTTTTAAATCCCGGCTCTTTGGACATGTCACTTAATTGCGCTACGAGCCTGCGTCTCATCCGAGCAGCCTTTACTAACCATCCCGGCAAGAGTTACTCTCTCTCTCTCTCTCTCTCTCTCTCTCTTTCTCTTTCTCTTTCTCTTTCTCTCTTTCTGTGCTGTCCTATGTACACCAGGAACTCCTCTGCACGTCATGTTACCGTGTCTCCCAGCTAATGAGGGGCAGAGCTCAAGTTCCAGCTCCAGAGCTGTGCTCCTGACAGCCGTGCTGTATTTGGGCACCATACCGCACGGTGGTGGGGAAGGAGGAAGAGGACACAGATGTGATCTTTCTGGCATAGGTGATCAGAGCAGCACATTAGTATTGGAAAGGATGCAAACGTAAATTACCACCGCCCCTCCCCCCACACCCCAGCCATTTAACTCCCTTGTGTGGGCTTGCCCAATCACTTAACTTACTTGGACATTCTCTTAATCTGTTAGTACGGACATTAATGCCCAACCTATATGGTTGCTTTGAGGATTAAACTGTGCGATGTGTTTTAAGCATGTAGCTTGGCGCCTAATGTTTAGGTGCTGAATGAATTATCTTCCCCAAAACTTTTACAGAAGAACTTGTACTTTTCAGGAAGAAGAGTCTGGTTTAGACATTATATATGATGCCAAGCAGTTAATTTGGTATGAAGTTCATCTGAGAAATCAGATTGGGAACAGATGTATTGAGTCATCAGCATGTTTTCTAAAAGTGTGGTTGAAACCTTAGGAGAGGCTACTCACACAACATGTGCTCGAGTACCTATACACCAAACTGGTGGCATCGGAGTTCACAAAACAAACAGGGAAGTGGGCCAGTAAATTTAGAAAATGGTATGATGTTGAATACGCTTTTTCAGTTTGGGAAATGAAAGAACAAAGGTGTTTTTGAAATGGACCAATAGGAGTGTAAGAGTGTTTTTCTCAAAAGTGGGTAGTGGTCAGAAATCCCCAATTATGACAGATGTGCATTCAGATGAAAAGAAGGCCTATGTGAGCATAGGAAGAAATCTTCAACAGAGGCTGAAAAGGAAAAGTATCCTGCGTATTTCTCCAAGGACTTTCCGAGGGGGCACTGCGTTAATGTGGAGGTGGAGCCGGAAGCCAGGAGGGTGCGGCAGTCGGCAGTCTGGCTGAGCCCGGCTGAGCCCGGAGGCTTGTGAATGACAAAGGCAGAGTGCTCTGCAGAGAAACCAGACTTGTGCTTTTATCTGTTTTGAAAACATTTGCGAACCCCCCTTACCAGCATATGTCACATGTTTACATTAAAACATCTTTGTAGGCACTACTCGGAGTAGGAGCAACTTTAGCCACGTAAGAGACCACCGGGTGTCTGTGAGCCAGGGAAGCCGCCTGAGACTGTCAGGCCTGCCCTGGCCTCTGAGGGGTATTTACAACAGTAATGACTGACCTTTAGCAGGTGTTCACTACGATGCACACACCTCACGAACACATTTAAGCCTCATTTTACAGATTCGAGCTTAGGCTAGTGATCAGTGAGGAGCGGCGTAGCCTATGTTATAAACAGCTTGAGCAGTAGTCCACAGACACAAAAGCTGTGGTGTCGTGAACCGCATGCAGTTCAGAATTGTACGAACATGATCTTAACTTTTAATTTTTGTATCCGTGTTTGACATTTTTGTTTCCCGAACAGATGCAGTTAATGGACATGATTTGACATGTTAATCAGTACATACAATAAATACGCAGCTATTTGCTTAAAGTTTTCATGATAAAAGTGAGGAGTGCTGGATACACCTCCCTTGTCCTCACAGAACTCATTTCTCGTTTATTCAGTGCAGTCAGGGAGCAGGGGTCTCACCTAAATGAGAACAGGTACTTCGTGAATCAGAGGTCACAAGCTCAGCCCCTTCGCGGGCTTAGCAAGTAAGCGAAGTAGAAGATAAGAAAGAGTGATGGGAACTGGGGCAACTGTACTGAGTTTTGTACCCTTCCGAAATATCTGTGCCAGCCTTTAGAACCCTGCTGCGCTGGTCAAACCAGACTGCTCTGCGTGCCCAGCTTCCCATTTGTGGCCGGGCCTCAAACACGCATGATGCTTTCAGTCCGTGCCAAGGGACTTAGAGCCTTCGGGTATCGGGCTTTGCTGCTGCCCAAATAACACTTCAGTTTGGGGGACCTAGAGGCCTTTAGGTAATAAAGGATCTGGGCGGCGCTGATGCATCTAACAGGGCTGGCAGCAGTATTGTTCTTACGGGGCCAAAGTGTTCCGACCCACGTTTTATTATCCAGCTGACAAAGAGCTAAACGGATAGAGAAACAAATCCCCATGTACCCTGCACCCAGATCCAGCGGTTGTTAGTAGATTCCCACCTTGACTTCACATACACACCTCCTTCCCTCACCTTCCTCCTTGCCTTCACGTGTACACTTCCCCATCATGTGTACATACATGTGCACACACGTGCACATTCATTACACTTCACCTTTAATACTGCTACAGGCAGTTCCCCAAGAATAAGGATCGTCTCCTGTGCAACCATGATGCCACGATCCACCCCTGCACAAAGAGGGGACATGTTCAGTATCTTGTAATACGTAGTTCGTGTTCACAGTTCCGCTGGTTCTTCCAAGAATGTCATTTTGTTTGTTTATGGTAGGATATCGTTTATATAAAATATAAAGCCTGCAAAACAACATTCTGTATTGCTTAGAGATGAGTTCGGATACAGCATTTTGAGTGGTTACCCTCGGTGACTCACTGGGGAAGGAAGGAGATGTGGTCAGAGAAGGGTGCACAGGACTTTTTTGTATTAGTTATTTCTCACGGGGAGGGGCATGTGGGTATTGTCTGCATTACTTTTCATAGCCTTTACTACGTTTGAAAATTTTTTTTTTTTTTAAAGAAATCTCAAGGTCATTTGAGCTATCATAGGGAATGACCAAGAAATGGGGCAGTTTTAATGAAAAAGAGAATGTTAAGGTTTCCAGAGATGTTTCAAGATGAAAATATTGTCCATCCACCTGTGCTCTTTACTGCCTTTTCAGTGTGGTTCATGTCCTTGCTGTCCCGGAGCTTCTGCTTTTTGCTCTCTATTCGCACCTCTTCGCCCTTAGTCTATAAACCTAGTTAAGCTTGTATCATCTTTTTAAGAAAAATTTAAACTCCCAGTCTCCTGAGGAATCACAGAATTTCTCTCCTCCACCGTCTCACAGAGTGGTCTATATTTGTACTCTCTGATACATCACTTCAGTCCTCTGTAGTCTGGCTCCTGCTCACTTGACTAAAATAGCTCTTCCTAAGGTCACTGATCTTCTGAACGACAAATCCAGACTAACTTATTTTTAGTTTTAGTTGTGGCAAAAAACAGGCTTTTCCGTTTTTATCTTAATAGACACCTACATTTTTATTGTTGATCGCGCCCTCCTCCTGAAAGCTCTTGCATTCTTTCCCTTTTCTTTGACCAATTTTCAGGTTTTATTCCCCCCCATGGCTTTGCTTCAGATCTCTCCCCAGTTTTAGGTTCATGTCCTCTGGATGTCTTCAGCTGATGTGAGGCCCCTCAAACCCCACACGTCCAAAATGGAACTTCTCATCCGACCACATTCCAGTGTCTCTTTCTGGGTTCCATTGCTCAGAAGGTTGGCATCCCCATCATCCAGCACCAGTCATCTAGAAATCTTAAACTCATGTCTCACGGGCCACTGGTTGTCCAGGTCCTGCTGGTTCATCTCCCACATGTCTCAGCTTTTCTCTCCCGGGGATGGCCATCACCACTGGCCCCATCGAGGCACTCACCATCTGGTCTGGAGCAGCACCCCTGAGATTGTCTTTTATGGTTGTCTCCCAGCAGCCTCACCTCGTGTCTCAAACCAGAAACCAGCCATGATCCGTGCATCACATTTGGTTGGTAGTATTGCTTTTGTCTTCTTTAATCTAGAAGAGGATGGCTTGCAGCCCATTCCAGTCAAGTTTTACTGGAAGACTGCCACGCCACTCGTGTCCACATTGTTTTTATGCCTGCTTCCAGGCCACAGCGGCAGAGTGGTTGCCACAGAGACCATCTGACTGGCAAGACTTAAAATATTCACTAATTGGACCTTCACGGGAAAAGTTTTCCCAGCCCCTGGACTAGAGGCCAGAATAACTGAAACAAACGTTCTAGACTTTGTCCCTTGAGTGCTGTTTGAAATTGTGCATGTCAGCCTCTCATATTCCCAGTGATACTGCATCATCCTTCCCAGAAATACTATGACACCGAAATACTATTTACTTCTGAAGGACTTTGTCCTCTGGTGAGAATGAAGTCTTTAAGGCAGAAAGCACATGTTTAACTGTTAAATCTGTTATATGCTATATATTTAATAAGAAAAGTAAATGAACTTTCTTAAATGTAAATTCTTCCTGAGCAGATTATACTGTTAATTTACAAATCACTTGAATTATAGCCAGTCTGTGCTCTGCCTGCACATGCCCGCTTTGATCTTTGTGCAGAGGCTCTAGGAAGTGACACCTTTCTTCTTGAGATGTGATGCTAGAGCTGCCCCCAGCACCCTTGAGAGACTAGGAGCCGGTGGTAGTTTGCATTTCCAGTGTTCTGCAGTTAAAGCACAGTCATACGGATCTTAGTTTGCCTACATCATTGCCGTGTGTACAGATTTGTGTTTTGCACCACACTCAGTAAAACTCCACTGTCCCCTTTCCTCACGCCAACACGGGGTTTCACAGTCTCGCTGTTGCTTGCTGTTTCCTGGAAAAACTTAACAGGATTGTTAATAAGGTTCCTCTGGGTTTATCCTCTGGATCATTTGTGATGATGGGTTTTGGTTTCCTTATCTGTAAGGGAAACATACTAAAAATTTGACCTCTCCCAATTCTGAAATAATCTCAGTCTCTGAAATGTTTTAGTTGCAATCGCCGAGGAACCCTCTTCTTTTTACAGCTTAATTAGACGAGGATCTCCCCACCTCTGTCTAAACTGCACGTTTTTCATAACCAAAAGGTCCCTGGTGAACAGTTTTCAAAATACTCAGGTTTTTTTGAAAGTATCAAATAGTTTTCAGATTAAAAATGGAATTTTAGCTAATAAGTGCTGATGGATCTCTACTTTTCCTAAAATACATAGAAATATATAGCAAAAGACACATTTAGACCACCACCACCTCCAAACCAGCTCATGACTAGATTCTGAGAAATTTTTACTAACATTAAAGGTGATAGAATTTAGTTTGCAAAATGTATCATGCTGTTTGCTGGGGGGTTTTTTTGTTTGTTTGCTTGCTGCTTTTGATGTATTTTGACATAAAAAGGCTTCGCATTTGGGGCAAATAGTCAGATCTAGGTCCTTTGTTTTGTGGGTTTTTTGTTTTTTGTTTTTTGTTTTTTTTTTGGTTTTTTTTTTTACATTTTATGTATAAAAAATTCTCATTCACTGGTGACTTCATGGTTTCATCTTTTTTTTTTTCAACGTTTATTTATTTTTGGGACAGAGAGAGACAGAGCATGAACAGGGGAGGGGCAGAGAGAGAGGGAGACACAGAATCGGAAACAGGCTCCAGGCTCTGAGCCATCAGCCCAGAGCCCGACGCGGGGCTCGAACTCACGGACCGTCACGGACCGTGAGATCGTGACCTGGCTGAAGTCGGACGCTTAACCGACTGCGCCACCCAGGCGCCCCCATGGTTTCATCTTTTAACACAATCATATGAAATTGTTTTTGACAAAATTTGTCTCATTTCAAGAAATCTTTTTAAAGTATTGGATATTCCTTTTCTCCTGTTGATTTAAAATGCTAACATTTCACAAATGCTTGGATCTGTTTCTGGTTTGCTTTTACTGTTCGGTTAAAGCTTCGACATTCGGGCAGTGCAGCACTGGCTAGCTGTTGCATGATCATGCGGTTCCCCCCGCCCTCTCCCACTCCTGAGATTTTTTTTGGAATTCTCTTATGTTCTACATGAATCTTTAAGTCACTTAAACCAAGTTACAGACTCCTGCTGGCAATTTCTTTTAATTGAATTAAACTTTAAGAAAGAATATTATTATTATCTTCTTATTCAGGAACAAGTTTCTGTATTTAATCAAGTTGTCTTCTGTGGCCTGCAATCAAATGTAATCATAAATGACTAAATATTTTTGTTAGCTTCATTCCAAGCTGCTTTATAGTTTCTGTGGCTGTTGCAGTTAGGATCCTTTTTTAATCACATTTTCTCATTGACTATTTCTGGTGTATAGGAAAACCATTGCTTTTACATGTTAACCTGCTTTGTTTCCTGTCTGCTCTCCTTACCTTTTTTCTGGATCATCTTCCAGCACAAGGCTGCGTATTAGTGTTGACGACACCTATCCTACCTTTTTCCTGTCATTATGGGAATGCTTTTGCTGTTTAAGTGTTAAATTCCAGGTCTGTTCATTTATTTTCAGCTTAGGTAGTTTTGTCTAACATTCTTGATCTTATTTACTCCTGCTGTTTGGAAGTGGCAAGAAAACACGCGCTTGTAGAAAAACAAAGAATGGAAACAAGTACTTTTGCTCTAGCCTTTGAGATGATGATGATGATGATGATGATGATGGTGGTGGTGGTGGTGGTGGTGGCGGCGGCGGCGGCGGTGGCGGCGGCGGCAGCTTGATTATTTAGATTTGGAGATGTGGATGGATTTGGGGCTTGGCAGTGTTTAGGATTTGCCACGCTCAGGAAGCAAGCAAGGATAAATCTTAGGTTTTAGGAAACTTACTGAGATGAAGAAAAGCAATAAAGAAGCAGGAACTCTTTTCCCCCTTTGAGAGGAGGTGCCTGTGGGGGAATAATTCAGGAATTAGCATTCTTTGTGAGTTATGTAGAGATTTAAAGTAAGCAGGTTGTTGTATGCTTTCCAGTTTTGTTCTTCCTGAGATAGACGTGATAGAATGAAAAATGTGCTTTGGAGACAGGACTGAAAAATCCCAGTAATCGTCACTATATATTAATTAGTGATAATAACCGCCCTCATTTATTAAGTACCTACTCTGGATCAGGTATGGTTCAAAGCACTTTTAATTATTAACCACTCAATCTTCCAGCTATTTGTGATGGGTATTATTATCGTCCCTGCTTTACAGATGAGGAAACTAATTTGCAGGAAGACGGAGCCTCTTGCCTGTGATCACACAGCTAGTAAATGGCAGGGCAGCTTTTAAGTCCAAGCAGTCTGGCAACAGAGCTGTGCTCTTACTCACTGTACCCAGTTGGCGCTCCGTGGAGCAGTTACTCGAAGCTGGTGTTGAACTAAATACTTCACACAGGACAGTGTAGCTCCCGGCTGGGTGGCGTGGTACTGTTTGTGTCCCCAGTCTGTAGACTTGGTCATACAGCTGCTGCATAGAGCCCGGACTTGAACCTCTGTGTCTCTAGAGTTCCAGCTGTGTTGTTATTAGCCACCTAGTTTTTTTACCCAAGTGCTGAATCCGCTCTTCCTCACCTGTGCTATAACTTACCCTCTGGGCCTCGATTTCCCCATCTACAAAGTTGAAGGTAATAGCTGTGCTCTAGGGTCGTTCCAAGGAGTCAGTGACAAAAATGTATAGAAAACACATGACCCATGGTACTGAATGATGTTGCTGGCGGTGCAGATGCTAGTCCGTGTATTGGCTTGTTTTTGCCCAACGAGACAGACTGTTCGGTGTCTTGTGTTTTGTGACAAAAATCCTTCTCACAGGCAATGAAAGATGGCAAACTTGATTTGGCAGCTAAAAAAACCTGACTCTCAAACAGGGAGCGGAGACCAGAGTCTCTCATAGAACTTTAAATTTCATGTATTTAGTGAATTATATACATGCTTTTGGTTTCTCTTTAGTCCTTTTTTCTGCTACTCTTTTCTAGCTCATAATGTTTTGCTGCTTGGAGGTTGTGCTTTGAGACAAAATGATACCAGGTGAACCTGGTTTTCCACATTAGCAACATCCTGATAGTGAGTTATATTTGTTTTCTAGGCCTCCAGCCCCTGGCGGTTGGCTCATTGGGTCTGGGATATGACTTGAACCCGTGGGTTATTTAGAAGCACCACATAGGATTCTGATCACCATTCTAGTCGAGAACTACAACATAAGCGACCCCCTAAAGGCAGTCTAAATGCAGACATCTTATGCAGGTTAGCATCTCTGAGAAACTTCTAACTACCAGATCCTTAAGCCGAATGAGAGTAATGAATCTGGGAAGGTATTAGAAACATGAGAACTGCCTGCCCCCTACCTGCGGCAAAATAACTAGATGATGAGATACAGCGGTGAGGCCAAGAGTATAGGATTATATGACTGTTCGGTCGTTAATAGTGTCCAGTGTCTGCCCTTGATTTTTTAATCATCGCAATTCTGTGATCTTCTAAAAAAACATGGCTGTGAAAGTAAATTAAATTTTTATAAAGGGGAATGGAACTAAAATAATGCTGACTTGTGTGCAGTATTTCAGGTTGAGTATAAACACTAATGAAATGGAAATATAATGGAAAAGACTTTGTAATTTTTATAAGCATGTTATAATACCCAAAAACAGTTGTGTGGAAAAGCTGTTCTAAGAAAGGGAAGACAAGAAGGCATTTCTAGTATATTTCTAATACATTTAATCAAGTTTGTCTGTCTGTCCTTACCCATCTACTTTCCAACCCCTTCTTTCTCATGTCAGGCCTCTAGGCCTGGGTTGCCTCATTATCCTAATACGTTTACTATCACCTAGTCCTTCCTGACACCAAAATTCTTTTCTTTGCTGATAAGGTAACAGTTTGTTCATTCAGCAGATATTTATTGAGAGGGGCTCTTATGTTCCAGGTGCTGCTTTAGGCTTCTAGGATAACATCAGTGAACAAAGCAGCAAAATACCCTTCCCGTGTGGGATTAACAGCTGGATGAGAAACGTTGGCAGCTGGCATATACCCAGTGCCTTTGTAACCATACTGCCAAGTATCGTATTTGTCAGTATTGCGGAACCACATACATTTATAATGTACTTATCATTTTCTCAGACCCTTCCTAAGCCTAAGTGTTTTTGTACTTCTCCTTTACTCTAGATCTAAACCACAATACTTCAGGATCCCATTATGAAAATTCGCAGCGGGGACCTGTGTCTTCTCCGAGTGACTCTAGCACAAATTGTAAGAATGCTGTTGTGAACGACTCCCCTGAGAAAGAAGTATGGCCCTCAGTCCCTGGCAGTGATCCAGAGTTGGCTTCAGAATGTATGGATGCTGATTCTGTCTCCAGTTCTGAATCAGAGAGAAACATCACTATCATGGCTTCAGGGAACACAGGTGGTGAAAAAGATGGCCTTCGGAATAGCACTGGACTTGGTTCCCAAAACAAGTTTGTGGTTGGTAGCAGCAGCAATAATGTGGGCCATGGAGGTAGTACTGGGCCATGGGGTTTTTCCCATGGAGCCATAATAAGCACATGTCAGGTCTCTGTGGATGCTCCTGAAAGCAAATCAGAAAGTAGCAACAATAGAATGAATGCTTGGGGCACTGTAAGTTCTTCATCAAATGGAGGGTTAAATCCAAGCACTTTGAATCCAGCTAGCAACCATGGTGCCTGGCCAGTATTAGAAAACAACGGACTTGCCCTAAAAGGGCCTGTAGGGAGCGGTAGTTCCGGCATCAATATTCAGTGCAGTACCATAGGCCAGATGCCTAACAATCAGAGTATTAACTCTAAAGTGGGTGGTTCTGCCACCCATGGTACCTGGGGAAGCCTTCAGGAAACTTGTGAATCTGAAGTAAGTGGTACACAGAAGGTTTCATTCAGTGGTCAACCTCAGAATATTACCACTGAAATGACTGGACCAAATAACACTACTAACTTTATGACCTCTAGTTTACCAAACTCCGGTTCAGTACAGAATAATGAACTGCCTAGTAATACAGGGGCCTGGCGTGTGAGCACAATGAATCCTCCTCAGATACAGGCTCCGTCAGTTATGAATGGCACTTCCCTTTCTCACCTTAGCAATGGAGAGTCAAAAAGTGGAGGCTCTTACGGTACTACGTGGGGTGCCTATGGTTCTAATTACTCTGGAGACAAATGTTCGAGCCCTAACGGCCAAGCTAATGGTGACACTGTGAATGCAACTCTAATGCAGCCTGGCATGAATGGGCCTGTGGGCACTAACTTTCAAGTTAACGCAAATAAAGGAGGAGGCGTGTGGGAGTCCGGGGCAGCGGGTTCCCAGAGTGCGTCATGGGGAAGCGGGAATGGCGCCAGTTCTGGAGGAAGTCGAAGAGGGTGGGGAGCTCCCGCACAAAACACTGGCACTAATCTACCCGGCGCGGAGTGGAGCAAACTGCCTAGCAATCAGCATTCCAATGACAGTGCAAACGGCAATGGTAAGAAGTTTACAAACGGATGGAAATCTACTGAGGAAGAGGATCAGGGTGCTGCCACATCCCAGACAAACGAGCAGAACAGCGTGTGGGCCAAAACAGGAGGAACAGTGGAGAGTGAAGGTAGTACAGAAAGCACTGGACGCCTCGAGGAAAAAGCAACTGGGGAAAGTCAGAGTAGAGATAGGAGGAAAATTGATCAGCACACATTACTCCAAAGCATCGTGAACAGGACTGACTTGGATCCACGTGTCCTCTCCAACTCTGGTTGGGGACAGACTCCGATTAAGCAGAATACTGCCTGGGACACCGAAACTTCACCTAGAGGGGAAAGAAAGACTGACAATGGGACAGAGGCCTGGGGAAGCTCTGCCACACAGACTTTTAACTCAGGGGCGTGTGTAGATAAGACTAGCCCTACTAGTAACGATACCTCATCTGTATCGGGGTGGGGAGATCCCAAACCTGCTCTGCGGTGGGGAGATTCCAAAGGCTCGAACTGCCAGGGGGGATGGGAAGATGATTCTGCTGCTACAGGAACGGTCAAGAGCAATCAGTGGGGGAACTGCAAAGAAGAGAAGTCCACGTGGAATGATTCGCAAAAGAGCAAACAGGGGTGGGGTGATGGGCAAAAATCAAACCAAGGGTGGGCCGTGTCCGCCAGCGATAACTGGGGAGAAACTTCGAGGAGTAACCATTGGGGTGAGGCTAATAAGAAATCTAGCTCAGGAGGTAGTGACAGTGACCGGTCCGTTTCCGGTTGGAACGAACTTGGTAAAACTAGTTCTTTTACTTGGGGAAATAACATAAATCCAAATAATTCATCAGGATGGGATGAATCTTCTAAACCTAATCCTTCCCAGGGATGGGGAGATCCTCCAAAGTCTAATCAGTCTCTAGGTTGGGGAGATTCGTCGAAGCCAGTCGGTTCTCCAGACTGGAACAAGCCACAAGACCTTGTCGGATCCTGGGGGATCCCGCCAGCTACAGGCAAACCTCCCGGTACAGGCTGGCTGGGAGGACCTATACCAGCCCCGACAAAGGAAGAAGAGCCCACAGGCTGGGAGGAACCATCTCCGGAATCCATACGTCGCAAAATGGAGATTGATGACGGAACTTCAGCTTGGGGAGACCCAAGCAAGTACAACTACAAAAATGTGAACATGTGGAACAGAAACGTCCCGAACGGCAGCGGCCGTTCAGACCAGCAAGCACAGGTCCAGCAGCTGCTCCCGTCTGCAAGTGCCATCTCCAGCAAAGAGGCGGGCGGCGGCTCCGGTAAGTTTCCACCGGGTCGAGTCTGGTGGTGTCACACAGCACCCCCCAGGACTGCAGTAGCCTCGTTTCCGTTTACCGCTGCTGTTAAGATCTGTTTCACAGAGTAGTTGGATATGCACGCAAGGGGCTTTTCTGCTCTAATGCAGGAGAAGCTTCTAGGGAAGATGGTGACAGGCAAGGTGTGTAACATGAGGGAGCGGAGCTCTGCCGGTGGCCGCGCTGGTTGTGACCCTCACGCGCTCCATTCTCTGTTAGGAAGGCTTCAGAAGGCAGAGTCGGAAAAGTGGTGTCGAGTGGGAATGCCGTACATTTCCCACTTCTCCGGAGCCTAGCCGTCACTTCTTGGTTTTGTTATCTGACTACAGTAGTCCCAGAAATACAGCAAGCATCCAACTATAATACTCTAAACACCGGGTGCTGTATTTGGCCTTCAAAGACATTTATTTAAGGAGGCCTGAAATCCAAGTCTGTTAGACACACAGTGTGTATGTGTGCTTAACACATTTGATAATACTTTTCTGGTGGTATGTTCCACTTTCCTCCCATAACAAGGAACTGATTCCCATCTCTGCAGATTATCTTGACAATGAGGTTTTCATTAAGTGTCACTGGAATGCATTGTCTTTGTTAATGGAGGTTTTATTGAATAATAATCCCACCGGACGTAGCAATAGCAGTGTTTTCATAAACTAACCTCTCAGCATCTAATTAGTCTCCCAAGTAGAGCTTATTGTATTAATTTGAATTTAATTCTTAGAAGAAACAGGTGCGTATCTGAGGGAAAGGCTGTTTTGGTTCTTTTAAACAATGTTGATGGGTTTGCTTTGGGCAACTTAACACTTCAGAATTTTTAAGAAGCATTGTCCAGCAGGTATAAAAATCGGATGCCTACCTTTTGTTAGTCTGGCAGTTCATTTTTGTTTATCCCAGAACAGTGATGTTGAAAGGTTGCCCTTAGGGTATAAATTTCATCCACACGCTGTTACGCGGCTTGATCACCCGCTTGAATTCACTAGGTTTGGCTCAGAGTGACTTGACTTTCCCAGGAATTAAGTTCGTCTTCGAAGGAAGATAACTTGCCATAATCGGGGTTATTGGAAGCAGTCTGCTCTACACCCAGCGGGCAGTTAGGAAAGAAGAGGTGGAAAAAGTCACATCACTGGCTAAACTATCATAATGGGAAATGACTTATCATCTTTGCATAAAACAGATGCCATCTGTTTTTGCGCATCACAGCATCATTATTAGATACGTGAATGTGAAGGTCTTCATCTTTTGTTCCCTAAAGTATTCCTTACTGCCCCTTATTCCACCGCCCCACCCTACCATGTGCTGATGACTTCTTTTCCCACACTTTCTAAAGGCTGGGGTGAGCCCTGGGGGGAGCCTTCTACTCCAGCCACAACTGTGGATAATGGTACTTCAGCATGGGGTAAACCCATAGACAGTGGTCCCAGCTGGGGGGAGCCCGTTGCTGCGGCATCCAGCACGTCCACGTGGGGCTCCAGCTCTGTTGGTCCTCAAGCGTTAAGCAAATCTGGTAAGTTGTTGATAATTCCTGGTAGCTATTTTGTCACAGTGGTGATCGGTCATTGACTGGGACTGTAAATAATCAGATAATGTTTATATTGTAAATGTATTCCTGTATTATCGTACTGGATGATTTCACTGGCTCTTTGAATTCGTAACTTGGTTTGTTCTTTTATTGTTGTAAATTTTCTTACCTTTCCTTAGAACTGTGCTAACTATTAAGGATTTGCATATACTTTACCAAATCTAAATTACATTTTACCAAATAAGATTATCTAGTAACGGTCAAGCAACTTTTATGCTGTCCAGCATGAGTGACTGAATAGTCATGTAGACGCATATCCAAAATGTCCGGCTGAGGTTTCAGATAATTCCCTGAATATTATATGTAAAATGAACAAAGTTCAAGAAGGACCCCTGTTGTTTAGATGAACACGGTCACTGTCCCATAAGTTGTGTGGGGGGCACCCCGTAGGACTTCCAAAGGCTGAGTATAGAGATGAGATACTTTCTGCTTACGATTTGCAATACTTTTTGGCCGTGCTCGTTGAAAATGTATTTCAAAATGAATTCTTTTAAATGTTTTCTATCCTCTGCCCTGTGCGCGGCCATGCAGAATGTTAAGGGTGAACAAGAAGGCTACCATTGTTCCATCTGAGGTACCTTCTGTTTGTAAAAGCATGGGAGATGTTTCATTGAAATTTTTAATTAAAAAAAATTCTCAGGCTTAGGCGTGCCTGGCTGGCTCAGTCAGTAGAGCATGCGACTCTTGATCTCGGGGTCGTGGGTTTGGGCCCCATGTTGGGTGTAGAGATTACTTATAAAAAGAAAAAAAAATTCTTGCCTAATGGAACTTTCAACTCAGTATAAAACATACACTTCTGCCCTGTTGATTTGGGAAGGGAAGTAAAAGCGGGGTTTTTTTAGGTACCCCCGCCTCGCCCCACCCTGTTAATGAGTTCTCATCCTCTAGAAAGAATTGTTTGATTAAAGCATGTTTCTCTTTGTATCACAAATCCACAATCAGGGCCAAAATCTATGCAAGATGGCTGGTGTGGTGATGATATGCCATTGCCTGGAAATCGCCCCACTGGCTGGGAAGAGGAAGAGGATGTAGAGATTGGAATGTGGAATAGTAATTCATCTCAAGAGCTTAACTCATCTTTAAATTGGCCACCATATACAAAGAAAATGTCATCGAAGGTAAACATTTCAAGGGCACAGCCCTTGAAACTTTGAATTCCAAAGGTAGTTTACCCTCAGAAAAAAATTGCTGTCCTGCCTGCCCATTTATGGCGACCAGTACAGTCTAGGCAGTCCCCAATTTAGGTGTAGCCTCGTGTACGGGCAGCCACCTAGAAAACCGTAAGACCACAGGAACTTCCTTTCTCCCCACTGCTGCAGCTTGGGATTTCTCTCCTCCTCCCCTTCCACCAGTACTGCCTGGGACAGCCCCTCACCCAGAGTGGTGCCCGCATGGTGGGGATGAAGAGAAGGGCAAATCTCCATGTTGACTCTTTCCATCCCACCGCCAGCTCATCTCCCATTCCGCTTCACCCGGAGCCCCCAACCCCCCTTTACCCAGAATCACCGTCCTCAGCTCTTCCCTCACCCCGAAAGGTCCTGTGACAGAAATGCCCAGAAATGATCAGAGTTGTTTGGTTTGTCTCCGATATGTGGACAAATGTTACCCCCAAACCTGTTGGTACATCAGAATCATAATGGCATTTGTTAAAAGCACAACCTCCTGTACCCCAGACCTACTGTAGTTTTGGAAATTGGACCCCAAATGTCTCTGATGCAGAGCCAGGTCTGAGACCACTGACATAAAGCACAGGTTCTTAAGAGATGGTATTGGATGCTGGTGTCAGATTCTCTTGGGGACCATTTTCAAAATATATGCCCAGTCCCCACCCAGGTCGTTCTCCCTGGGAGGCCCTCCCCTGGGGGTTC